TGTGAGAAAAGATTGTTTTGGGGCCTAATGTGAATATTTCAAAAGTTGAGGGACTTAAAGAGGGAAAAATTTTGGATAAGGATGACTTCTTTTCTTTTCTTTTTTTCATTTTTCTCTTATGAAAATTTCAACGATTAATCAATCTCATAGTAAAAACTTATTTAGGTTTTGTTTGGCAATATGTATTTGTATTTAAAATGTGTATTTTAAAATACATTGTTTGGATTAAAATAAAAAAAATAATTTTCAAATACATGTATTTTTAAATTTATTGTTTGGATATTTTAAAATACTATGTATTTAAAATTGAATTTTTCCTATTAAATTAAATCTTCTTTTTATCATTATTTAAATTTAATAAAACCAAAGTTAACTATTTTAATCTTCTAAGGCATTGTTTAAATTACCTCAAGATAAACAAATTGGATAAAATAAAAAAGCAGCAATGACCTCCACTAATTAATTTATCTTTATGTTCTTCATTTTTTGTTCATTTTTTTCATTGTCATACAATATTTAATTTTTACAAAAATAAATTTATTATCAAAGAATTTCATTATAAAAGATAAAGGAAAAAATAGCATCTACAATGATTATCAATTATGTCTATTAACAAGATAGTTGAGGTAAAATGAAACAGAAATATGACATTCTTCTTTAAAGACCTCAGAGTAGACCACTAAATCGAGGTTGAAAGTTGAAAAGGAATAGATCCTATATCGCCAACAATAAATTAGTCAAACAGACTAACTAACAAAATCATCAACAACACTCAATGGATAAGATGATATCTAACCATTCATGTTAGACTTATATTTGCTGTTGAACCATTATTTTTCTCTGGAAAGAACATCCAAAAGAAGGAAACATGATGAAATCAAATATTCAAAAGCTAAAATAAAAGTGAAACCCACACCGTACACTAGTAGATGTAAATATTACCTAACTAATACATCCACATTTCAACTAAAACAGCTAAATTAGAACTGAAGGAGTACTACTAAAAGCTTCTCTCTCTTT